ATACTTCCAGAGTGATCGAGAAAAAGCCGAGGGTCTGCCTGTGGCTCCTTTCATGGACCGTGATAAAGTCAGTAAACCGACCGCGCAGATCGGCTTCATCAAGTTTGTGCTGATTCCGCTGTTTGAGCTGTTGAACAAGGTATTTGTAACAATTTTAAGCTAACTGTTGTCGTGAAAACCTAAAGTGCCTCTCAGATCTTTCATTTTTCAGAAGTTTTTTTCGTTTGTCCAATATTAGTTTACCCAGTTTGGAAAACGTACTCAGAAAATGTTAGAATATGGATAGAAACTCAAATATAGATCAACTCAATGGTCGGTGCGTTAATTTATTAATTCATTGGCGTAGTTGTAAGCGCACTGAAGCCTGGATCGGAAGGATGAGCTCGGATCCTGGTCGCCGTTAATATGTTCGGTTCTTGTTCAAGACACTTTATTCTCACATTGCCTCTTGCAAACGAGGAGTTCAAATGGGTACCAGTGATTGATAGTGATGCGTAATGCAGTGCAGAGTGGGGAAGGGGTTTGGTCACTTGTGACGAAGATCCAAGGGGACCAGCTCTACTTTTAGACCCTTTGTGCCGCCTTGTACTTGTGTCTCTTTTTAAATTCTTTTATGGTTTATTTGCAGTTGTTTCCTCAAGTAGCTCCTGTTATGATTGTGCCTCTACGGGAAGCCTACGAAAACTACGAAAGAATGCGCATTGTGGAGGAAGAAGTTAAGGCTGCCACGGCCGACTTCCCTGAAGATTCAAGTCCTCCTGAGAAAAGTGTGGATAGTAGCAAAGGTAAAGGAGGGTGGAGTCCGTCAAAGGGCAAGTCGAACTTAATGGGTGTGTCCAAGGAAATACGAGAGATATTCCACGACCGCAACAAGGAGAGTAAACAAACGGAAAAAGAGCAGGAGAAACTGGCCCGCAACACCAACAAAAAGCAGGAGGTAGGAATTTAGAGGAAGCACTAAAGAGAGAAAAGAGAAAGAATTAATAAAAATAATAGCGATAATGACAGTCATGATGGAAATGGTAGTGAAAGTGTCAGTGACGAGAACTATGACGATGACGATGACTATGACGATGACAATAATGCAGATGATGAGCCTATGATCGTGATGATAATAACGAAAATAATAATGACAATAGCAATGACAATTATTCTGCTTTTGTACCTGTGACATTATTCGGATAAGTTCAGTCAATTTCCTTTGGTGTGCCGTTCTTTAGGATCCTGCTGAACAAGCAGACTAATATCGCAACTGGTCAGTGGTCTACTGAAGTAAGATTCAATATGGCGAACTACGATGAATACAAGCGGACTATACTTTTAATCGATTTTCAAATTTTTTCTCTGATTCAGAAAAAGGATGAAGCCACAGATTGCAGTCCGTCAGGAAGCGAAGACAAATAGATGGTCTACACTTGAGACTTGACGATGAAAATTTGATCTATTTTTCCAGTATATTTAACTCTAAAAGATTTAATTAGCGACCCTGAGATCGTTTTATTCGGCTGATTTTTTCCCACGAGATAGACCAGCGGCGTGGTGGGGGAGGACATGAAGCGCTTTAAATCAGACCAAGGGTTGTTGTTATTTTGTTTTCTAAACCCAATCAATAGCCGTCAGCATTAACATATGCAATATTTCTTGCATCTCTAATAGTTACTAGTCTAGTGATGGCGAGAGTGCATTAGTCTAAGAGACTGACTATTTTTAGATCACACCTTTTTTCGGAGGTCCCTGGGGAATATAGAAGTACCTTATCCGACTTTCGTTTAGCTGGTCTTTTTTCTACAATACATTTAGGCACCACGCCAAGTTTACTAAGGGACCTTATACAATCATGGTGGCGACACCAAAGAAAACATTGATTAAAAAATGAAGTAACATTCACATCGAGAACTTTGTGAATAGGGTGCTGTTTAAACAGGCTTCAATGGCGGCTGGCCTCCTCTTCAGCGTAACGTATGAAGGTCACGTTGCAGTCGACTTTCAAATAATACGATAATTTGGTTTTATTAACTGAGTTGATAAGGTAAATTAGCAACCACAAAGAGTATCTATAGCTACGCTGGCCAATTTACATGATAAACTCTGTGATAACCCCCCCCCC